TGTGACTATGTTTTCATTTAGTCTACACATGGCCTTAGATCCCTTATGTGCACAGAATGCAAAGGCATACATAGCCACATAACTACTCAGCCAGTGTACAGCCTACTACGCATCCTTAGTCTGTGCACACGCTTTATGTCCACAGTACAGAGATAACAGAATTGTTGGCTGCATGTACATGCCAAAAATACTACTTTGCAGAAAGAAAATTGCCATTTAGATGCACACAGGGATATAGAAGTTCAGCTCTGGAGGCATCTCTTTTCTTAGCTCACTGAAGTGAATAGCTTATGTAGTTTCCTTTTTCCCTGCTTCCTGCTTTCAGGCTGGAAACTAGCATGACAAAGAGCTGGGACCCAGCACCGGAGGGAAGGAAAGTAAGTCTAGACAAGGATTCTGCTTCTCAGGGCCAGGTACCCTCCCTCTTCCTATGACAGAACTGCACCCTCCCTCCCCCCAACTATCTTCTTAATTGCTCATTCCTCCCTTAGGACCCTAATGTTTTTAACACCTCACACTTGAGGAGGAGCTGAGTCCAGAATTTCCCAACCCACCTCACCCTAAAGAGGAGATGGTTTGGTCCCCACCCTGCACAGCTGGAAATCTTTTCATTGCAACCGTAACTCTTAAAGATACCGTCAGAAGATCTATGGCAAATTGTAGCTAAATTTGCACTTTGGTGCTAGCTTAACATTAAACGCTGGCATTTGCCTTTTATCAAAATTAGGAATAACAACAAACTTTCATCTATGGTTAGCAATGCCTTAAAATTGGAATAAAGGGTTTTATATCTTTAGCTGCAATTACCCTATGTCCTGCAGGTGGCAGCAGTCTCCTTGCTACATAACACACACCACTTCATTATGTTTTTTTGTAGCTCCAGAACCAGCTGTTCAAATGGCTGCATCTGAAGATACATGGGCATGTGGCAGAAGTTCAGTAGACAAAGTGTTCCTATGTTGTAAAATGGCACAAGGGAGCTACAACAGGCCTGTCCAACAAGGAAACTGTTATTCTTTTCATTTGATTTTGACAAGGAAAATAGCACTTTAGGGCAGGCACACTCATTGTACCTGGTACTGCTACTCGGGAGAACACAATGGTATACGAGCAGTGTACAACATCAGCACCGGTGAGCTAACGCATTATGATGCTGTTCATATTGCATCCCTAACACAGGAAGACTTAGTCCCAGGACTGCTGGTTGGCTAACTGTTCTGTGCTAAATCACGTATATCCAGTGAGTATGACACAGTGGTGCCTGTATGTGCTGGGGGGTTAATCTTCAGGGAAACAAAAAAAGCAAAAGATGTCTGAATCTCCAACCAACAGATGCATGGGACAGCTGTAATTTTGATAATTGCTTTAGCCACAATACACAGCTAATGTATACATGCCTGACCTTTCAAAAGAGTGTAAAGTGAATTTGCTGTCAGATCAACAATGCTGGCAATTTAAGTCCTCTAATTATCTGTACAGCAGGTGCAACTTGGGCAAAATTCATCACACTGTGCTAGCCAGGTGTCTCATCTCTGACCTGGGGATGCCATGTCTCTGTGAAAGGACATTTCAGTCCTTATACCCCCTTGATTTTCAGCCGATAATGAAAATAAGTGGGCTAGTTGAAGTATGAGATTTATGAAGGGACATCTGTTCGTTAGAAAATGTGCTTGAAGGAACTTATTTCACACTGGCTATCGGATGGTAAAAACTTTCTATGTAAATTTTCAAAGCACCTATGTAAATCAGAAGTCCAAGTCCCCTTTTTAAAAAATTAGGGTAAGCCTTGTCTATATACAGTTTTGGGCCAATATAACTTAGTAGAAAGCGGGCTGTTTTCATTTTTTTTTTTTAATCATTAGCATGAACACAGTTATACCAGGGTGAAGGTGCATTAAAACTAACTGTTATTTATTTCTATTCCCCTATTGGGAAATAGCTCTTTCAGATAGGTATATTTTAAATCAATATAGCTCCATTCCCTCGGGGAGGTGGGCTGTACATCTTTACTTATGTCAGTACATTTAAAACAGTACAGCTTCTGTGTGTAGATAATCTCTTTGGCACTTAGGCCCAGATCCTCAAAACTATTTCCCATTAATTTCAGTGTCCAAATGCCTTTGGGGATCTGGGCCTTCAGAGACATCTCACTGAAGGACAATGGAGCTTAGGCTTTTAGGGTGCATTCCCACGAGCATGCATGTGTGTTTCCCTGGGGACAAATAGCAGTGGCACATAGTTGTGCTGCTGCTACATGTCCCTGGGCATGCCCCTGCGTGTGCATTCTGGTGCACAGCAAATTGCCCCAGGTGGGGTAGGGGAGGCTGGGGCCAGCCCTTGGGCTGGTCCAGCAGCCTTATCTGGGATCCTGGGGGCCTCCCAGGGCTGCAGCAGTGGTGATCCGGGCATGTGGAGCCTGGCCAGCAGCTTGAAGTGTGGCTCTGGCCAGCCAGGCTCCGATTTCGGACAGTGCACACCACAGACACATGCACTGCCCCGCTTCTTTTTTTGTTTGTTTTTAAGATACCAGGATTTCCCAGTATTTAATTTTGCTGCCATGCTGCAAATATGCAGTGTGGCAAACAGACTAACATGCACCGTGTGTGTTTTGTGGCATCTCAAAAGGCCTTGAGGCGCTACAGACCT